TACTGAACCCCAGACCACACTCTAAGAAACCCTATCACTCATAATTAATTTCCAGTTGCGTAGTAATAACAAGATGATGATGATAATAGCTGACATGTATCAAGTGTTTATTATGTGCTGGGCATTATGCTAAGTATCTTCAATCTTTAGAACTACCCAATAGATTGGGACTATCATCATGACTCTTCTATAGAGAAGACATTGAGTTTTAGGGAGCAGTGGTGTAACTGTCCCATGTCACATACCCAAGCTTTCAACCCAGCAGTCAGACACTAGAGGCCAGTCTCTCAACTGCCGCCTAGCAAGCCATGCTACTTTTATTTATAATAGTTTAATACAAAAAAGGTTTTCATTGCATCTAAAGCAAACCTTGAGGGACTATCATATAAGTTATGTACTGTTGCTTAACAACTCATCTAAAACTTAGTGATTTAAATAAAATGCAGTCATTTTGTTATTATCTTTAGGGTTCTGGTTATCAACTGGGCTCATCTGGGTGGTTCTCACTGAACATCTTTCATGAAGCTGCAAGTGGTGGCTGGAATCATCTGAAAGCTGGTCACTCACATGTCTGGTGCCTCAGACATCTGAGGACTGGGACTGCTTGGGCATCTCTATTTCTAGGTGGTCTCTCCACATGGTTTGTGCAGCATGGCAACCTCAGGGTAGCTGGAGAATCTTACATGGAGAATGAATGTGTCAAAGGCACATGCTCCAGGAAAAAGAACACCAGATGGACGCTGTGTTACCTTTTATGAGCCAGCCTTGGAAGTCATGCAGCATCACTCCCACCACAGTCTATCCGTCAGGCAGTCCCAAAGGCACATCCAAGTTTAGGAAGGAGAAATAGACTCCACCTCTTGATTGGATGGAAATACTGTTGTGGCCAATTTTTGAAAAATGCCATCTGTCTCAGTCCACATTCTGGGAAAAACAATCCACTTCCTTCCCACTAACAAGATACACTCACCCCTCCTCCAAACTCCCCAAAGCCTCATCCTATCATCACATCAGGCTCAGGCCCAAGCTCTAAATCTCATCATCTGAGTCAGATCCAGGTATCCTGGCTGCTCAGGTAAGGCTCCTTAGGTGGACAGCTCCTCAAGTATGTCCCTTTCTCTCTGAAGACAGGTTACCTATTCCGCACACAGACAACATACCCTGGAAGGACAGGTGTAGGATGCTCCTGTTTGAAATGGGAGAAGTCAGGTTTCATACAGCAGGCAGTAACACAGAGCAGTTCTGAACACACCTGGGCAAGTGTTGCTTGTGCCTTGATTAGGATTTAGTTCTGGTGCCTAGAAATGATTTTCCATGGCTTCTAGGTGCATGTTCTGGAATCCTGACTCACCTTTGAATTATAATTCCTAATCTACAAGAGGTGACATGTTTGGGGCTGGTAGTTTTCTCAGCCTGCTTCCTGCTCATAACATTTTTAGGCACCAAAGCCTCTTCATTTTGTACTGACTCTGCCCCTTTCAGTGCAAGCTGATACACTTCCTTTAAAAGCTTTGTGAGTTTCTTGTGAATCAATTTATAACCCACTCCATTAGTCAAAAGCCATATCCACAGATCTCTTTAATATAATCTCTTCTCTACTTTGGGCTTTCTGCAATATTTCTGTGGAGAAATACTCTTGATATTATTAGGAGTCTTGTGGTTTTGTTGCCTTGAAAGGGTCCATGAAGCACCACCTTAAATCTTACTGAAGTCTAAGTACAGGGTTTCATAGTCATGATCTTGGCTTCATCATTAGATAATGTTTTCCTGGAAATGCCCCCGATTCCATCTTGGCTTGGAAGTCATTTCTCAACTTGAGAATTATTTGCCATCTGGAGTCTAGCAGTGAGAAACCATTTCCTTTTCAAACCCAGAAAGTTCTGGCTTCTTTACAGTTAATAGTTCTTTCTTTAGCTTATCTCTTTACTCTCACATCTTACTATAGGCAGCTAGAAGAATCCAACAAGCAGCTATTACACTCTGCCTGAAAAATCTCCTTAGCTAGATCATCCAGTTCCTTAAGTGTATCTTCTATTTTCCACATTACTGCAGGTGACAGTGTTGCTAAACTTTCCACAATGGCAGAAAAAGGGCCATGTTTCCTCTAGTTTCCAACATCTTCCTCACTTTCCTTTAAACCTCACCAAGAGCTTTCTTGAAGATCACCTTATTTCTGCTAACAGCCTCTTCAAGACTCCTCCAATTTCCCAAAGTCACTGCCACACTTTCAAAGTTTTTTGTAGGAGCACTCTATTTCCAGGTACCAATATCTGTATGAGCTGTCTATTGCTATACAACAAACCTCTCCAAAATTTTGTGGCTTATAATAACAATGATGATTTTATCATTATCTCTCTCTTACGTTCTAGTAGTTGGCTGGGCTCTAGTTGGCTGTGCTACACCCTTCTCATGCAGGCTCTCACACAGCTGTAGTCAGAGAGTGGCTGGAGCTGGAATCATCTGAAGACTCAGTTCACTACGTTTCTGGTGTCTGAGCTGGGAAAACCCAGACAGCTGAAGGCTGGAGCAGATGGGATCCCCTGTCATCTCTCTCACCTCTGTGTGGCCCCTCCACATGTTCTCCACAGCCTGGCTGCTTCAGGGTAAACAGAACTCTCCCGTAGAGATCAGGGCCACCAAGACGTGTCCCAAGACAGTGAGAGCCAGGCAAAAGCTGTACTGCCTATGATCCAGCCTCAGAAGGTAGGCGGCATCCGCTTTGCCATATTTTTTTCACTGGAAGCAGTCTCAGAGACCCTCCCAGTTTCCAGGTTCTGGAAGAGCATGTGGGACTGAAAATATTGTTGAAGCCAGTTTTGGAAAATACAATCTGCCACAAATCCTTTAAATTATTCAAATCTTCAGAACATCTCTATAATACTAATGTTAAAAATTTGTTTGGTTCATTAACTTTTTTTTTTTTTAATTTTTATTTATTTATTTTTCCCCCCAAAGCCCCAGTAGATAGTTGCATGTCATAGTTGCACAGCCTTCCAGTTGCTGTATGTGGGACACAGCCTCAGCACGGCCGGAGAAGCGGTGCGTCAGTGCGCACCCTGGATCGAACCCGGGCCGCCAGCAGCAGGGCGCGCGCACCCAACCGCCAAGCCACAGGGCCGGCCCTGGTTCATTAACTTTTTAGGAGAAGCTTATGAGCGGCTGTGTTTCAGCACCTGGAAAGCCTTTGGAATAATGCTTATTAATTACAGACTTGTGCATTTTTGGTATTTTCTATTCTTAAAAGTTGGCTGCTTTTGGGAACCCTGTATAATACTGGCTTACAAAGATGCCCATTGAGTTAGAAAATTAACTTTGTTCTTTTCCATTCTCATTTGGATGTCTCCCGTTTGTTTCACGTTTACAATCGTCCAGAATCTGAGCTGAGCACTTTGCATACAACATCTATTTCATTCCCCGAGATAATCACTGACGTCACCATTTTCTGCACGACTGTACTGAAGCTGAGTGAGATCTGACCAAGATTTCTTTTAAAATTACAATTTGCACCCCTGCCACTCCCACAAACACACACACACAATTCTGTGACCCCTCCTTGTGGTCTGTTGTTCCTGATCCTCATCACATGTATCACTTTGAAACATGCCCTAGAATTTACTCATTTGTTTTATTTACTTTTTTTTATTGTCTGACACTCCCCACTAGGGCAGAGGAAGGTATACAGAGAAATACATTTTCTTAGTGTTCACAAACGTGTCTCAGTGAAGACTGGTTGACTGCACTACTAAATGAATGGTTGAATGAATGAATGAATGAATGGTCATGCTAAAATCTGAATCCAAGTCTATCTGGCTCCACAGCCTCAATTTTAACCATTAGACTTCATTGTCTCCCCAAAACTGGGAACAGACACTGCTGTCATATATGCAGCCATAGTGAGACAAAAACCTGGCTACCTTAGTTAACCCAGGAACTCAACAAATTTAGATGTGTTTATATCAAGAATTCCTACAGATTAGTAAAATGCCAAATTAGTAAAATAGGTCAAGATTTTTGAGAAGTTTAGATATTTCAGTAAAACTATGCAATTTTCTAAAACTAACATCTCAGTTTCCAGAGAAATTATTTTTTAATAAAAACACTATTACAATTTACAGTAAAAATATATTAGAAAAAGACGTCTTTTGGAATTTCTTTCTTTTAAACCTAACCTTTAATAATTGTTTTAGAGTCATATTTAAGTAGTTTTTTCTCCCTCTTTCAAAACTAGTTCTTACTAATATTATATTTGTTTTTCTAAATATCTCCCTTTTTTCAATTTAAGAGCTTTCCACTTAAGAAGTTCTTAGTGAAATGTTACACTCTTGATTTCCCTGTTAAATACATGTTTCTGTTAAGGATCCAAATATACTGATTAATTGTAAAACTCACCCTTAGCATCATTTTAACAAAGTTCTTTAAAAAAAAAAATCTCTCTATGCATGGAGGTGCTTTTGTTGATATTTTGTTTTGTTCATTTTATATTATCTTAATAATCAAGCTTATGCATTTCCTACAGGAAGCATGCATATGCCACAAATTAGCTAACCTGCTTGCTCTCCCTAGCTTTCTGTTTTCTCCTTTGTAAAAGCCTGGGATCAGTTCAGCAAATACACACTTCACACCTGTGTCAGGCCCCAAGCGTGCAAGTCTAAGAGTTTCCTGCAGCTGATCTGAAGCGCCCCCTCCCGCTGCATGGCCAGGCCCTTCCCCTCTGCAGGTGTCTGAAAACCCTGGGCCACCTCGCTGTCCCCTTTACGTCTTCCTTAAGTGCTGGAAGTTGTCCTCCAGCTCCTAGATCAAAGCTCGTTTTCTTGTTGGCAGACCTGTGAAGTGTAGGGTGGGCCGGGATCCTGGAGGGCGGGGGGATGCAGGCCTGGTCCTCGCCGTGGGGACGCGCAGGAGCCGCGCGGGGAAGGGCCGCCCGAGCCCGCCGGTCCTCGTGGCTGTGCGGCCCTGGGGTCTCGCTAACACCTCCCATCACTTCTTTGTGCCCTCCTCAGTTCTCACGCGGCCCCGACCGCACAGTGATGACTACAGCACCGTGAAAAAGGTTCCTCCTCGAAAGCCAAAACGAAGCCCCACCACCAAGCTCAGCGGCTCCTCGGAGGAGA